CCATGCTCGCACGTTGGTGAATACTTCCTCTTCTAATTCAATCTAATAATTATTAATACACATTTTCCAAGGTACTTTTTCAGTCTAAAACAGTTGGACTGGGGGGAAAAAATAAAAACAAGCTCGCTGAAGAACTAATTCCAAGTATTAAAGTTTTAAGGGACTAATACGGAGAACTCCTCATTTTCTTTTTCGCTTTCCCACAGTGTCTTTTCTTTTTTATACCATAAAAAACTTTTAAGTAACATATATTATTCCATAATTTTTTTAACATTTGCATCACCAACGCAAACACTCAAACTACACAAAGAAACTATATGCAATAAAGATTTCATGAAAACATGAGAAGGAGAATAGCATACATGTACTTATTGTTGGATTTGGGTGTAGAACCAAACCTCCGCAAGCGAGGTTGAAGCTTTAGGTGAGAAGCTTCAGGTGAGGGTGAGCTCTAGTCGATGAGGTCGAGGTGAGCGGGCGAGGTCCAGAAGTAGGCGAGCTCGAGGCCATTGCAGGTGATGTTGGCGCAGATGTAGGCGAGCTTGAGCTCCTTCAGGCGAGGTCCAGGCAAGAGCTGTAGGCGAGCTCGACGCTGTAGGTCGAGCTCGGGAGGTTCGCAGCAGGCAGGCTGCGTGGTCTCAGTCAGCGCGAGCTCGAGATCCAAGGCAGAGATTCAGGCAAGCTCGAGCATGGAATCCCAGGCAAGGTTGGTGCTTCAGGCTGTCGCTAGCTGTCGACAGCCGGTTCCCTAATAAAAGGACCCAGAGCACGAGAAGCGCTTGCTTCTTCTCTCTCTCCTCCTCGCTATTTCAACCTAGGCGGCTGTGGCGGGGGGGTTAAGAGGAGAATTAAATAGAAGAGAGAATTAAGAAGGGGAATTTAAGAGGGGAATTAAATGGAATTGTTTACTGTAGCTACAACAACAATTGCATTTATTGAGAGATCTCAAGTTTGAGATCTGCTCTTGCATTGTAATTTCTTTGATTAATAAGAAATTAATTGTGTGTCTCCCGAGAACGTAGGTAAGTTTGCCGAACCTCATAAATCTTGGTGTATTTTTCTCTATACTACGTTTCTTGTTGTTTTAGGGGTTTAGCATAGCCCCCGGTATTACCCAATAATTAGTATCAGAGCCTGAAACAATCTAGATGAAGTCAGATTCAAGTAAGAGCAATGGTTGCAGATGAAGGAAAGGTGAGATTAGAGAAGTTTAATGGAACATATTTCGAATTCTGGAAAATACAGATAGATGATTATATGTATCAGAAAAATCTATATCAACCCATTTCAGGGAAGAAGTCGGAGTCTATGAAGAAGGATGAGTGGAACCTTGATAATCACATTTTTATTACAATTTTATACCATTATTATCTATTTTATATGAATAAATATACCACTAATAATTGTTTTTATCTTTTAATTGCAGATTAATAAAGAATAAATCTTAACTTCCCATCTCTCAACAAAAACCCATGGATTAAATGAAGAAATGATTCAAGAAGCCTAAGTGCAATTTTCGACTTTTTGAAGGCCTAAAGCACAAAGATTACATCAAGGGAAGAGTTGATTTTTGGACTTATTTGCTAAAGTTACACTCAAGGACCGGACATGCATAGCTGGACTTTGAATGGGCCAAAATAATTGAAAATCAAATGAATTATCAAAGATGGGCCGGACTTGGATTCAAAACAAATCAAAAACTTGATTCAAAATTAAAATGGAAAGGATGGGCCAGAGACTTGTTTGCTGCAAGCATTTGGGCCGGATTTGTATATTTGCTGCAAATTTGCTTCTTTGCTGCAGATTTTCAAAGAGGGCCGGACTTGATGAAGACCGGACTTGGAAGCAATCATTGTTTTCTTTGCTGCTACTTGGCTTGGCATTGAAATTTCATTATTTTAGGGACCGGACATGGGCTGATTGGAATGGAATTTCAAAATCAAATGAAATCAAGTGAACATGGGCTGCTCAAGATTTGGATGATGCTCAAATAATGGAATTCGGTTTTAAATGGGCTCAAGAATTGGATTTTGATTTTCTTTTGAAAATCAAATAAATCAAAGGTGGAGATGGTTGCTTGGGGCTCAAGACAAATCCAATGACTCATATTCATTGAAGATTACTATAAATAGGGGTAGAGAGTGAGGGGTTAAGGGTGTGAAAATTTTGTAAACTCCTTTTGGAGAGGAGGGCTACTCTTAATTGAGAAGGCCTTCCAAAAATTGTAACTTTAGTTGCAATTAATAAAAATAATTTTTTCCTCTTTAAATTTGTTCTTTCTCCTCTTGTTGAATGATGAGGATGGAGATGAAGAGCAATTTGAAGGTTTGCATTTCTTTTCTCTTTTATTTCTTTTTAGTAATTTCTTTATTATTGCTTATTAGTTAGATTTAAATTCATGCTTGTAGTATAGATTTACTTTCTTGTCTTTTTTATTTTCTTTTTGCACTTTAATTTGTAGAGTAGATTTATTTTTCTTGCATTTAATTTCTGCAATTTATTTTGTAGTTTAGATTTTTATTTTCTTTGTAATTAGATTTATTTCTTGTTCATAGTTTAGATTTTTCTTTTCTTTTTAATTTTGTAATTAGTCTTCTTTTTCTTGTTTTTATTTCTTAAGATGTGAATTTAATTCTTGTAGGAATCTTAGAATTGTATGAAACTAGTCTAATTTCTTTTATATTGTATGAATTATTCTCTTGTACTTAAAATGTTCATGTTAGGATAATCAACTAGAGAACTAATCGGTAGAAGAAGAATTTGATAATCTATGCTTATCTTAAATGGTTTGATAGGTTATGCTTATGAATTCTAGGATTATTATCATGTTGTTGTTCTTATCATGAATAGTAATTTTAACTTAGATGATAATTTGATAGGTTACACTTTCCTTAAATGGTTTGATAATCTATGCTTAATAAATCTAAGTTGAAATATGATAAAAAGAGAATAGTTTATATTTTGTAATTGAAATTGGTTAGTGGATTATATTCTAGATTTCTTACCTCTTTTGAATCCTCCATCTTGACTTTCTTAAATTTTCTTTTCATTCTTAGTTTTATTTCTTGATTTTATTAATTCATATTTCTTGCCTTGTGATTTCATTTATTCTTTAATTCTTCCTTCTCTCCTCTAAAATTCAATTTATTACCTCTTGCATATAAATCAAAACAACCACTCATACAATCACACTTATTCTTTATTCCTAATTGTCACGCACAAAATATAAGAACCAAGTTTAATAATCTCTTAAAATCACCTTCTTCGTGGGATCGATATCTTTTTATACTATAACTTGATAAATTGTGCACTTGCAATTTTGGTACATAATTATGCCGCATCAAGTTTTTGGCGCCGTTGCCGGGGAAGGTGCTAAAATAGGATTTTATTAACTTGATTCTTTAACTTGTGTATTTTTCTTGTGAAGGAACCGCTTGGAGCTTGAAAATCTTGGATTGAAGATCAAGAATTTGGAGCATTGCTTTCGGGTAAGTCTTCTTTCTAGTTTTCAATTCCACCCTCTTTAGCTAGCTTCACAATTAGAGACAATTAGGATTTAAAAAAAAAGATTTTATTTTTGTTGACCATAATAAAATTCATCTTCTCACATTTGATTATTATTGACCATAATTAAAAAAAAGATTTTCTTTTTATCATCCTTTTTAGTCGCTTTTAATTTCTAGGGTTGCATTTCATATAGTGTAGGAATTCACCAAAGTGATTGTAGCACTTGATTTGGCACACACTTAAATCATTCTTAAGGGCAAAACCCCAATCAAGATAAGGTAAGGGATTTCATCACCCTTTCCTTAGCCCACAAATCACTAATTCCTCACTTCACAAATCCAAGCCTTCTAAAACTCATTAGACGTTGGCCCCTAAGGATTCGAGCTCAATAAGGAACAAGAAATCCTTAAGTGAACGGTTTAAGTTTTCTCAGAATAGTTGGTGTCTAAGGCAAGGTTTAGGGGTTGCGTAAAGCGCTCCGCAAGGAAAGAGGTACTTAATTGATCTTTGATCACCCTCTAGTACTATCCTTACCTGGCTAACTACCTGGGTAAAACTTTGATCTTTTCACTGTAGGAATTTTTGGTTAGGAGCTGGTCTAGTGGAGTTAGGCTAAACCCTAGAGTTAGAGTTGATTGAAAAGTGATTGCCTTGATTTGTTTTAGTTAGGATTTTTCTTTTTCTTTATCTTCTCATATAAAAAAAAACTAATTTTCTTTATCTTTTCATTAAAAAAAAACTAATTTTCTTTCCTTCCTTAAAAAAAAAAAAATTGTTTTGGTGTATGCAATTTTGGGTTCGGGA